AGACGCGTAGACGTGGCGCATCGTCCTTCACGTGTGCGATCCTCGTTAAATCCGTGTTAATTAAATCATGACTAAGTTCGACGTGCGACCTCCGTGTGCCTAGATAATACTACAACCATCGCCTACGAAACTGAAAATGTGCTTGCTCCTGAATATATGCCGGTTATATATGCACCTCCATGGAACTATGGCCATGTCCTGAGCGGCCTATTAGGTTCCTCTAAACTATATAAGTTGACAAACAACGGACCGTTAACCGGAATTCTTACCGACAGGTTCCCTGGGCCCCTCTTCGTATCTCTAGGCTTCTTAATTTCGCTGCATGTTGAATACTTAAGTGTACATGGCCTCCTTCCTGGTCGGTAGTCTAACTGAACTTGGCTAAAGTTTGTGGAGTGTTGGGGGATGTGAAACTTACTTCCGGGAACAGCGGAACTCAATATGCAAATAAGGAGGGGTGGACAGGTTTGTATGACGTTAACTTTGATTTTTATATGGTTTAATGAGATTGAAAAAACATAGAAAATTTGAAAAATTCACAAAGAAATAGATTTAATGAAGAGATAGGGAATCCAGAATTACCTGTAATAAGATCGCTAAATATTCTGGTTGAACATGATTGCTATAAAATGAAGTGGAATATTCCAAACCAAAAGGCCAAACCAAATGCATTGATCGATTGTTGAGGACTTATTTAGACTTGGACTGCATATTTGTACATACATTCAGCCAAGCGGGTTTACAGATCTATTACAATTCTTGAAGCACATGAAAACTTAATAAATTGATATGTGATGCGTAATATACATAGATTAGCAGTAAATGATGAGGATATTGAGAGCCTATGGCATCCCTGATCATGACACTGTTTAATAGAAGTTATAAATCTATTACATCAAGACACAAGAGTAAAGCTAATTAAAAGTACTCACTCCGGATGGGGAAACTGAACTGTTTAACATAACTGCAGGAGTACTACAAGGCGACACAAATTAGCACCCTATCTTTTTGCACTATATAGTTCTAGATTATGTTATGCGTCAGACATCAGCTAACTAAGAACAAGGACTGGTCTTTGAGCTTGAGAAAAGAAAAAGTAGAAGAAACACACCTGTCGTCATAAATGACCTAGATTTTGCGGACGATACAGCATTACTAGCTGAAAGACTACAACAAGCACAACAGCTTCTACTCCGAATAGAAAACAGAAGCTGGTAAAGTCTTCACCTGTATGCTAAGGCTAAAATGATGATAAAAAAATCACCTCTAGTCATGCATTCAAACCAGAAGTGGCGACAATGTAGAGGTGGTCAAAAACTTTAGATATCTCGGATTACAGATGGAAAACTCTAAAACTGATTTCGAAGTCAGGAAAGCTCTTGCTTGGAGCCACGAGTAAGCTTAAAAAGATATGGAAATCCAGTCTCATGCAGGATAAAGAAAGGCTGTTTATTGCCACCGTGGAGTCCGTCCTCTTATACGGATCCGAAACGTGGACCGTAACAGTCACTTCAGTGAAAAAAAGGTTTAATGGCTGCTATACTCGCGATCGCATGCACGCCATGTTAGGCGGCAAAAGCTAATTAACAAAGCATGCAGTAGTTGTACCAAGATCTGCCACCTGTTACCAAGAAAATACAACAGTGCAGAATGAAACTGGCTGGTCACTGCCATTAGGCATTCCATCTAGTTCTTTGGGAGCCTACTGCTAGGGGAAAAAGAGGTACGGGGAGACCCAGAATCACCTACTTATAAGTTATGGACAATCTGCGATGTGACACTGACCTGCATGTTGCCGACGAATTGTGAAAGGGCCATGGAAGACCAAGTGCTATGGAAGAGACTTTCTGGATTGGTTCGAAGTAAGTAAGTAAGTAAGTAAGTAAGTAAGGCCATGTTGATTTGATTATATGGATGACATCCTCTGGGAACCCCAAAACTGATGCGCGCGTGCGAATAAAAAAAAAGTTTTGCAAAAAAAAAAGTTGCTTTCACTATGAAATCTACGTGGTCATGAAGGTTGAACAAATGGCACA